TGCTAACGGGAGTTTTTCCTATCCACCGTCTCCCAAGTGCTGCTCCAGGGAGATCTGTTGGGTTTTCTCTGTAATAATAAGACCGTACTATGTAAAGTGTCCTGAGATCATTTTTTTGTAATGATTTGGCATTATACAAATAAAACTGATTTGAATTGAACTGAACTGGACCTGCATTATAGTGCTCACAGCACTGAGAAATGCTGTGGAACTACCAAAGAACTACAAATTATGAAATCTATTCACAATGAAAGCTATGAATTATCCAGATTATTCATTGTATATTTCCATCCTTGAATACAGGTACCTCAAATCTGTATTTCAGTGGAGAACTTGATACTTTCCACATGCTAGTATATTATATTTGGTTTAGTTGAAGGATTTGATTTAGTGTAAGTGCTTCTTTGGTTTGGTCTAAACAAAAATAATTAAAATCATGTTATACATGTGCTGTATTTACATGATATGTGTCTGTATGCTATCAACATTAGAAGGAGCATGAGAGAGACAGGCAGTCAGAGGCAGCTGGCATCAATAGTGGTAGCCTGCTCTGGTACTGTACAATGACTGTATACACAAACAAAGCAGTGAATGTGCTGAACTCACTTGTCAACATTTGTGTGTCTTTCTCAGCTCATGAACCTTCTGCACAGGACAAAGAATGCATTGTTACACTGATGACCTGGCTTAGAATCTGTCTTTCAGGCATTTAGAAATATTCAAATGTCTGTACATTTGAAACAGTATCAGATGATTCCAAAGCCAAACTCAAGGCCTGGAGCATCATCCCCCTTCATTTCATTTCTCTTTATCTGCACCAGCAGGGGTTCAGTTCCTGGTATTGATTTAATCTATTATGCTTTGTAGAGCAAATCAGTCCTCTCAGATCTGTTGCTCCTGAGGCAGGCCTCCTTCACAGGGAGAACAACTGTAATCAATTATTTGTCAAGCAGATAAAATGTGACAGTGTCATCATCTGTGTGGATTGTTTGATACTACAGTGCCATTTCAGTTCTGCTCAGTTCAGTTTTATTCAAGACAGGTCTAACCTCAGGCTGGTCGCACAAACACAGACTCCTCTGGTTTTGATGTAACAACTAGCCAAAATGAAGACGGTACAAGTCTAGTTGCTTATTCTTATATAGTCTTCCTTAATTAATAGGGTCTAACTTGATATGTGTTCCAATAAACACAAAGCTTACCGATTCGGTTATGGCAACTTCAGCATAGAAAGAGCAATACATTGAATTTAAATCAATTCAGATTAAGACAGGTGATGAGAAGTGAGTTATATTAATTACCACAAGTGTGTAATATGTATCAGTCTGGGGGGTTTGAAAGCCAGCGTGCTTCATGTACAAAAATACTCTTCTGATCTTAATTCCAACCAAAACAAAATGCTTTCTTGCAAACCTGAAGTCATCATAAGCATTAACCATAGCTGTGACTAATTGTTGTGGACTAAGCACTTCCAAGTTAATGTCTTCCACATTCGATGTCCTTAACTGTAACATATTGTTATTCAATCAGCCCTTGGACATTTAAGTTAAACAGCGACTGGTGCTGACCTGTTGCTGCGGGCCTGTCAGATGATCATTCTTGTTGTGTGGATTGTTTACAAGACAGTAGAGCTGTGAGTGCCGATTCACAGCATCCGATTGGCTCACTCGGGTACAACAAGTGGGCTTGGTTTCACTTTGGGTTTTTGTTTGTGACACTGGAGTTAACAGCTCATTTCGGTTTCAGTGGATGGTTTGATGACTCGTTCTAGTGACCTTAATTAGACACTGAGTGATACTCTGTGAGAAGGGAGTAGGAGGA